ATTTTCTGAGAACATCCATGCTTCTTAGAAATCATGTCTTTGACTCCATCCCACCTTCCCCCCTCAGTCCTTGCTCCTCAATCATGTACCCTCAGGCCCTACTCGAAGAAACCCTCCTCCCTTAGCCTACCTTCTCACGTAAAATGTTTACCCCTTTGCCCACTGAATTTATTCTGCCTTTGCTCTGCTTTCACTTATGATCACAGTTCTGAAAAAAGATTCCCACAAATTTTCCACTTGAACTATTCTTCACAAATTCTTCGGGCTTTAACTATATGCAACTTGAACATTATGCCCTGACATTTTCCTCAAATAAGGTACATGCTTCCAACTCAGCAAAGACCTCCAAAATGCAGAGCTTAATTGCCTTTTCTTAATTCTCCTCCATTCTCAGCCACTCAGGTGTACTCAACACTGTTGGTCTACCACAACTTTTGAAATGTTTTCCTCTCTTGACTCTCATAATATTGAACTTTTTATTTTATTTTGTTTTTAGTATTGAGATTCTGCTGCACATTTTTCCCCAGAGACTGAGTCCTTGCCTTCTCAGCTCTCTTTCCTGCTATTATTCTACACTCTTCCTTGGCCGAGTCATCCAGACTTGCTGGCTACCCATCTGTGGATAAGACCTTGAACTATTCTGAAACCTAACCTGCCTTCTCAATGATTTCTCTCATTCTTCTCTTTCTACTGATAAAGTTTTCCAATATTTCAAATTGATTAGGCCATTTATATAACAAATGATCAATATTTATCCATGGCAAATTTAGAATAAAGTCTATATTTCTTCACCTGAGGGTCTAGAGACTCTGTGATTCAGGGTTAAACTACATTTTAAATATTTTTCTACAATCATTTTTTATACCTATCACAGGTTTCAACCCAAATTATTTCCATGTTCCTAGCATTTCTCATCCAAATCTTTGGTCTTGACATTCTCTTTGGCTGGAATATTCTTCCCACCTCTGAGTAAATGAACCTTCAAGGTCCATCACCAGTGGTATAGATTCCAAAAAAAAATGAACAAACCTTCTTTGATCTCCATAGGAGGAGTTGACCATTCCACACTGGAAACATCTCTCATTTATTCTGACAGCTGGAGCATACCACCCTGATGTCCGTAGCATCTTATATCTGTGTGAGCACATGTTCATTTTCTCCACTTCATTGCCAATGACTTCCTGGTAGCATGGGTTTCTTTTTGGTTCTTTCAGGCACATAGCAAAGTGCTTCTTTGCATGTGGAGATAGACTAGTTTAGTTAAAATCACAAGGATCTAGAAGTTGAGGAGCAAAATTAGCTTTCTATCTTCTTCTAACTCTTTTTCTTTCTTTCTTTCTTTCTTTCTTTCTTTCTTTCTTTCTTTCTTTCTTTCTTTCTTTCTTTCTTTCTTTCTTTCTTTCTTTCTTATTTATTTAATTATTGTTCAAATACATTTTTCTGTCTTTTACTCCCACCCCAGCTGACCCCCACTAGCCCTCCCCTACTCCCTCCCATTTCCACCCCCCTTAGTTGTTGTCTATGTGTCCTTTATATTTGTTCTTGTAAACCCTTCCCCTTTTCCCTTGAAATTCCCTCCCCTCTCCCCTCTGGTCCCTGTCAGCCTGTTTTCCATTTCAGTGTCTTTGGTTATATTTTGCTTGTTTGTTTGTATTCTTCTAACACTTTTTAAAATGTGTTGCTTGAAGGAAAATTCTTTTTAAATTTCTTTAACCTCCAGGTTCACTGGTAAAAGAGAGATTATTCTGCCTGTTTAATAGGTGTATTGTGAGTCTTGAGCAAAAACATGTAAAATACTTAAAAGACCACATGGCAGAGAAAGAGAGCTCATTGTAAATATTATAGCTGAAAAGTAACTAGTTCTTAAATGAATAAATTACAGGAAAACTTTAAGTTCATTTTCAGTTTGACTCTCAAACTAGAATTTGGAGGAAAAAAAGAAGCAAAGGATTTTATTCTACCCATATTTATTCCTCCAGAGGTAACAAATAGATCCAGAGAATGGGTGTCTTAGTTTAAACATGCTATAATCTATGAAAATAAAATGCATATTTTTGTGTGCAAAGGCCTGTATCATTTTAATTTTGTAAACAAAATTAAATGGACATTTAATAGACATTACCATAGACATTACCAGATTCTTATTACACAATTAAAATATTTTAATTGATTTATCTACAACTCTCACATGATTCTTTATATATATATAAATACTAGTTACTTCAAAATACCATGTAACCATTTATACTGTACCTTTATTTATAGCTGTTTATTGGACAATTTAAGACCCTGGTCATTTAATCCAGTGTTTAACTGAGTTAAGTCTATATTTAAATCTTTTAGAAAATTAATCAGGTTAAAACTTTAATAATTCACTGTAGAAAAAATGGGATAGTAATTTTGTTTCTATTTCCCAGCTTTTCTTCACACAACAACATCTCTCCTTAAAGATCACCTTTCTTTTTTATTTGAGAAAATTTGCATACTGACCTATTTTACCTCTTCTCTGTTTATTTGTGAACAGCTGGTATGTAAAATATGAATAAATAATATAAAACTGACTCTTTTCCAGAATTCTAAAAAGTTGACATGAAGATTTGAAGGTCATTTAATTATATATTGTGTTAGAAGTATCTCTGACATAATTACTTTCACATTATTTTCGACTATGTACTTTTAAGTAGAATTCACAAAAGACCAAGCAATGTACATAGTGTATCTTAAGGGTCCTTGTTTCTATATTTAAACTTTAGTTCATCTTTTAATGTCTTTTAATTGTCTTTGCAATTGTCAAATATTGGTCTGTTAATGAAATATGTGGACGGATATTCCCCTCTCGCCCTACATTGTGTACAAGAACTCATTTACCTCAAATTCTCAAAATTCCAAAAGTGATATTGGTTTTGAAGAGGAGACTTAGGAGTCAGGGGAAGAGGGGACTTTTGGGAAGGGCCACTGCAGTCCCTACTTGTTTTAGCCACCCATTGCCCGACTGCTAACCATAATCCTGGCCTGGCATTCATTCCCCGCTCTGCTCTAAATCAGAGGCGTGTCTTTAGTCTCTGGAGGCTCTTGTTTGTGGAGACACTAAATGCTGATTTTATGAGTTAAGAGATCCTGTGACTCTTAAAATCCATTCAATACTATACTTTCTATCGAGAAATCTGAAAAATAGGCTGCTTTTTACTCTCTAGAAGATTTTGAAGATGTTCCAGCTTCAAAGAATGCTAAAAGTGTGCTCATTATCTTAAGTTCATTATGGATTTTTTCCTCAAGACCATAATGTTTTTCGACTGCCTGTTTTATTTTAGTATCCTTGACCTAGCACTTACCTTTTCCTAAGCAGTGTCTATGTGGTAGACCTTTTTTAAACAAACAGCTTTTTCCATTGTTTGTGTGTATGTATCTTCATATATTGAAGTTACTAGTTGGACATTGATTTATTTAGAAGTAATTATTAGAAGCATTGATTGACCAATCTGCTTATAAGAACAATATTTCAAAATGATTATATCACCAAGGATTAGGAGGACATTATTTGACAGAAGGAGAAGCATATGAATGTTCACATATGAGTTTGACATATTTTCATTAAGAAAAATTAAGATCACTTGACTATATTAGCAGCAATACAATAAAGAAAAGAAGGAAGGGAGGAAAGAATGAAAGGAGGAAGAGAAGGGAAGAAAGCCTTGAACCTCAGAAAAATCTTATATGAGATGCATGATCTTGAGTGAGTCTTTCCAGGACTAAATTTCTTTATCTTCATTGCAAAGGTTTCAACTAATTTGATGCATTGTTCTCCAGTCAAGATTTTCCTGACTTCCTAGTTTGTCTTGTTATATAACAGATATTTTCTATTCTACTTATCAACTTTTCTGTAGACAATAAAAGAGTTTGCCTAAGAGTTGTTCTTGCCATGAAAATGTAAATTCTGTGGCAGTGCCCAGAATTAATTAACAGTCTAGAAAATAGTCCTTTGAGAGAAAACACAAGGAATTGGGTACCTGGGTCTTTTGAAAAATAATTTATACTTGTCTTAAGACAAATTATTGAGTACTGACTTTTTAGATATTTTAAGCAAATGGATTATTAAGAACAAAAACTTTTAATATGTTTTTGACTTCTAAACCATTGCTTTTCAAATTATTTTATACATGAATGACCTCGCAGTCTTGTTAAAATGAAGTCTGAGTTGGTGCCTAAGAACTACATTTGTTTCCCAGATAATGGTGAAACTACTGGTACATGAATCACACCTTGAGAAGGAAGGTTCTTAAACTCATTTATGATCTGACAAAATCTAAAACCTAACTTTAGATGAAACACACACACATACAGGCATATACTCACACTTGAACATTTTGGATTTTACAGGAAACCCATCTGCCAAGCCCAAGGAGACCATTTAAGAACCTCTAACCTAGAGAAAACAGTTCAAATGAACAGCTTCCAATTATCCATCACTAGATAAACACATGTTACACATCACAACAGCAAACAGAGCCTTGCTTCAGATAAAAGGAAAGGATTCAGAATTCCAGCCTGCTGTTATTTTTTCATGGCTAGGGTGATCACTGAAAATGCATGGCTTCCCAAATTCAGAATTATTTTGACTAAAGTGGTCATTCAATAACCAGATTCTACTCTTCCCGCATTACAACTCTGAGCATCAAAATTCTGTTTTAAGAAAGAAAAGGTCTGCAGCCCTCGCTCACCAGTGTCCAATGTATCAGTAACAGTTTCCTATTTGAACAGTTGCCTGTCGCATGCTACACTCTTCTTTCATTGGCTCCTCTTCTGTCACTGGCTCTTATCCATCAAAGTCCATAGTACAAGGTTCAACATAATCTGAGTAAGAATCTAAACTACACTGTAAGAAGGGCAAGTAGTTTCTGTTCCTTTTTGTACTGTTTAGATATTTTCAGCCCCCTACACATTTGTTATGTAATAGCTGTAAATGTAAAAGTCACACTCTTTCATATTTTTGTATCCACTAGAAGAAGCTGAAGATGTGTCTTCTACAAAGAAGCAAAAAAGTAAGTTTACAATTAGATTAAAACTGTTAAATGAATCTATATTAAAGATGGTAAATATAAATTGAAACTGAAAACGCTCTGAAGAGAAGTATTAAAATAAAAAAGATTTTTAGCAATCACCTGAAGGATAACATGAAGAATAAAAATGGGTCATTTATATTTCAAAGAGAAGATCATCACTTTTTGTATCAGGCAAGAAGCACAAATTTGGAGGAATTATGAAGTAAAGACTTGTGTGGCATTTACTGCAAACCATTCTACACAGCTCTTATTCTGAGCACTTCAGCTGAATCTGTGCTTAAATTTGTGTTACAGTCCACTTTATAAAAAAAGACAGTCTAAGTGACATGCTGAACTTTTTTATACCAAAAAGAAAAAAATGATTGAAAGTTCTTTTTTATTTTTCTAGATATATGGTAGGCTCTTAATATTCAGTTTGGGGGATCACTGATTTTGTAATGCTATCAATATTCACATGCAATTAACAAAATTCAGTATCCAAGATTCTCATTATTCCTCTACTTCCAAATTAGACATTTTTCTTTAGATGGTAAAGCAATGTCATCTGAATACCAATTTTTAATTCACATATGCATTAAAATTGTTGCTGGAAAGACAGAATAAAAGAATCAATTTTAAAAATAGGTATAATTGGTGTTTGTTTCACATAATGTTTTAAAGTAAAGAACAGACATTTGTCTTAGGAAATGATGTCATTGTTCTCTGAGTTCTACAAATCTTCTTGAAGGTATTTCTGCAGGAAATTATAAAAATGTCCTCTATGTTAGCAAATGTCTTCTACTTTACATAGTATGTGATTCATTGACTAAATATTAAGTGCCTACTATGTCCCAAGCTCTGTTTAGATATTAGAAATACTTATTGTATCCATTTAAATTACTGGGTTGTAAGAAATACAGGGAAACAATCTTAACACTTTTGGATATTGTTGCAAAATACATGAAGTCAATCTGGGCATGTTTCTGATTTATACAGCAATACTTTCCCAATTGTTTACCTGCTGGTAATAATTTGTGGCTATATCACATAAACACTTAAAATTTATTTCATAAATGTGATGGAAAACCAAAAGAAAACAGGATTATCTTCTGGAGGGCAGGCCCCTGTGGTAGAGGCTTCCTGCACTAGGTGAGTATTCTAGGAATCCATCTGTATCAGTGCACCAGCTCGTGTTGTGAGAGGTTGCATTCGGCTTCAGTGCATTGTTTCGAAGACTCTTTCATCGTGTTTGCTTGTTTCATGGTGGGTGATTTTCGAGTGCACCTGCCCACACCGCACTGAGTGTTCAGCAGTTTTCAACCAAAAATGGCATGGCTCCCTTGCCTACCCTCCCTATTCACCAGATCTTGCCTAAGCAACATTTCTGTTTGTTTCCCTGGATGAAAAAGACTTCAAAGGGAAATGTTTTGCCAATGTGGAAGAGGTGAAACAAAAATGTAAAACAGCACAAGCACTAAAAGGCATCAAAATTGACAAGTTCAAAAACTGCTTTGAGCAGTGGAAGAAACATCTCAATAGATGTATTGCATCCAGTGGGGAGTGCTTTGAAGTGACTGAAGTTTAACTATATAAGAATAAATATACAATGTTTTAATAAATAAATTCTGTTGCTTGGGGTTCCCCTCTTGTAAGTATTAAAACATAATTTAGTAAGATAGATTTTATCTATCTCAATTTCTTGGTTGGAATATTGCATTATAATTTTGCAAACATGTTTCCATTTGGAGGAACCTGGCTGAGTACACACGGGATTCCTCTGCATTATTTCTTTTAATTGTATGTGACTCTTCAATGAACTCAAAATAAAGAGTTTAATTAAGAACAAAGAAACAACTTAAAGATTTTAGTAAAAAGCAGACATATATAGTAAAATAATATTTTCTATTTTCATCTTACTATGAAGTAGTCCCATAGCCTGATATCCATGTGTCTTTTATAAAAGTTCTAAAATTTGCAGATATAGTGATATTTTTATTAATGGCCTATTCAACATCAATTAAATAAATGTATCAGAACAGAACTTATCTTTGATGAGGTTCAGCTGGAAGAAGGTCTTGGATAAACAACTACTTTTAGGGAGGGTGCTCCCATTTCTCCTTAATACAGGCCAAGGGCTGCTTCTGTGCCAGGAAGTATTTCAAGTGCTGCATGTATATTTACTTATTAATTTCTATATTTCATTGAGGTTTCGTTGATGTCTCAATTTTACACATGAGAAATCCAAGACACAAAGAGGTTTAGTAACATGCCAGTCACTGCCAAGGCCATCTGGCTACAGAACCCATGTCTGCATGGATTGTACTATACTGCCTTGCTGTGCTTCACCTTTGTTGTGCTTGTTTTAACAAATTATCATGCTCTCTTCCTTAGGCCCCATCAGTTTCTTCCAATGTGTCTACCTGAATGGTTACAATGGCTATGGATTTCAGTTTCCGTTCACCCCTGCACAGCGCCCTGGAGAGAGTTCTGGCCCACCAAGCTCTCCGGGACAGAAGCCACAAGGACAATAGACACACATGCATGACCATTATAAGGGCTTTGAGACTGAGAACTCCCATTTGTCCACAGTGAGACAAGCAACTGAAATTTAAAACTTGGGAGAATATCTTTGAAAATATTTTACTCTTCTGCTTGATATAGGAAAAAAAGTGGGCAAAAGGACTGAATAATACGTAGACATAATGAAGGGTCTAGAGCTCAAGAATCTATTTGTGTTTGTTGCTGGTGTGGGTATTTATATTTTTTCTATTTCCACTCAGTTTAGGGCTGTTCACAAATTAATTTGAAGTTTACTTAATAAATGGTCTTTTAAATGTAACTGACACAATTACAAAATCAAACTCCTGATTTTAGGTAGATAAGTATTTTTAAATGAAAACACAGACTATGCCTTAAATTAAAGAGTACAGGAACTTGTATAGAAGCTACTGTTTTGTATCATGTAGGTATCTAAGTTCACTTTACCAATAAGTTGATGCTTAATAGTTCAATTTTATTTGTCTATTTCTGTTTTAGTTGTGAATATGGCCTAAGGCTGGGTTACAGTTGCACCAAAGAGTGTTGTAGTTTCCTAGTGATGCTCTTTTAGAGCTCAAAAATGTCTCTGAACTTCAGACATGACAAGAAGGAATAGAAATATTTGACGAGTCTTATCTCTAAGATTTGTCTTGAATTGTAATTCATACATTCACCCTCCTAGTGGAAATACACTACCCGATTAGGCAGGTCTGGTGAATCATTTGTGTAAAATATAAGCAAATGAGATGTAGAATGTTCAGGTTTTTCCAGACTACATATGTCCTAATGAAAATATCACTTGGGTGAAATTGTAGATCGGTCACTAAATTTGGGTGACAGATGCGAGAGTATTTTCATGTCACTTTAATATAATCCTTCAATGGAATTAAATATATTTTCTTTCTCAGAAAGAAAAAATATAAATGTCATCAAACTTGAAGGACTACATTTTAAACATAAGTGCATCATGATATGTCTTACTTGATTTTTTAGTAATTGGTTATCAATGCCAATGAAACGAATACCTGTCTTTAACTTACTTGACAACACATCAGTGGGAATGACAATTGTGGTTTTACCATCTTTTGTCTCCCAATAATATAAACACTTGTATTCTTCATCACATTTTCCTATCAGCTCTGACAGTCATGCCACTGTGATCTTTTCATGTTTACAGTTGCACCTCAACTTATGTCAAATTAACTCAGGAAATAAATTGAGTTATTTTTTTCCTAGCATTATACTTACTTTCTGTCAAGGTTGCCACAGCCAATACGAGACAAGTTGATTTATTTTCAAGGACTGCAACTAAGTCCTTTAATTCCAAGATTTACACCACTGGTTTACTAAAATATCATTGACTAGGGCATCAGTAACGAGGCTGTTACTAATAATGGATTTTCAGCGACTTTTGTGAAAGTTACAGGTCTCAGCCACATGGTGATGGACCTAACTCACAGCACAAAACCCAACATTGCAATGAACCAAGGCTAATGACACTCCTTATGGGGGCCTAGCAATGTGTACTCTCAGCACTGACTGGGTGGTACCATCTTGCAGAGCCCCTTCAAGTAGCAATGGAAACCTGTGAAGGACAGTGGATGGAGTTTATTGCTCACCTGCTCCTCCAGCTTGTCCAATTTAGTGAGTAAAGGTAATAGAAAATACAACAGTTTTCTTAGATTTCATAGAACAGAATGATTAAGTCATTCATTCATTCATTCTTTCAATGACTATTTATTGAGCACTCAGTGCACTGTGATATCAGAGTGCACTGGACTCTATCAGAGAAATATCGGAGATGAATTCTCTTCTCCATATTATCCTGGCACATGTGGCCTTGGAAACTTTACTAAACATTCTATGCTTGTTTCCCAAAGTGTAAAATAGGAATTTCACAACAATTACCTGATACACAGGTGTACTGTGGACACTAACAACATATCTTAATATAAATATGAGGTCAGAATTAATTCCTAAAATAATAACTTTGGGTGTTTTCTCCCTGAGTGCTTTTCTACACATTATTGTTTCTTTCATTCTCATTATAAAAATTACTTGATAAAAATTAAAATATGATAATGTATTATAATTAGAATTTAGAAAAACAGTTAGGGTTAATTAGTAATAATTAACTAATTATTAATAATACTTGTTAAGGTTTATCTGCTTAAAGTTACAATGATGATAGCATATGAAAATATGAACAAAACTCTTTTGTTTTTATGGTTCCACCAAATAAAGTATTTCTGCTCCTTTTATGTTTGTGCTTTATATTTTAAATGGAAAAGATAAATGGTCAAAACCCTTTGCCTTCAATAACTCTCTCATAATTCATGTCATATTGGTCACAAATATGTAAGCATTTAATAATTGTGTTAGTTCTCTATTTTGTCCAAATTATATGAGCCACACAGACGAACCCTCTATTCTCCCCCACTTCTACTCCTCTTAGTAGATGAAGGTCCACAGAAAATAAATAACTATCTAAGGATTTTTATTTATGAAATCATTCAAATGACATAAAGGTTTTTTTTAATAATTCCCTTGAAAAGCACCTGTATACTCATTCATTCTGATATATCCCTGTCAAAACTTTCCATAGAAATATTTTGGAAAATGAGACTATATATTTAAGGACTTAGATCATTTCCTTGAGTTATTTTATTAAGAAAAAACACAAGGAGAATAATGAATATTGCTGCTGATAGAAAATTCAAAGACCTCTACCCCAACTGGCACATACAGAAAATGAACCTAATCCCTAGAGAAATGCATAAATTTGCCAACCAGCTGTATCAGAACCGAGCATAGAACCTTGGTCTGTTAGCTCCCAAAGGCCTTTAATAAAACTATATCCTCAAAGTGTTATTTCAAACCTTAGCTAAGTCTTCTGGTTCCTCAAAATCTATTTTTGAATTATAATCAGTGTCAGAAGTGAAACCCTGTGCGGAAAAACTTGTTAGTTTTCTACATGAGAGCTAAGAAGGACCTTAAGAGTAAGCCATGTTCACCTCCTTTGGAGATAAAATGATGAATCTCAGTGAGGTTAGGTGACCTGCCCAGGGTCAAATCTAGTCTACGGTAAAACCGGGTTAAGAACTCCAATCTTCCCCTCTCATCTTGCACCCACCCTGTGCAACTTTGTATGCTGTTTCCTCCATCATATGTTTCCCTCTGTAATTTGCAAACCCGCAAACACGTGGACACTCAGCACAGACTTCCAGGAACTGACCCACTGACAACACTGCTGTTCTCCTTTCAGGCTGATACTACTGCTGCCCGGCACCTTTTCCCTCATTAATGCTGTAAGTCCATAAAACATGCTGTAGGTGCTTTTCTTTGTGTATAAAATTAAATAGCTTTATTTCCCATATTGTTTAAGCATAAAAAAATGTCATAAGTCACCAAAAGGCCCAAAATATTTGCCCAGATAAAAAGAAAACAACAAAAAAGGCAACTCTAAATTAATCACAACCCATCCAAAGACGTGGGTTAATGAAATAAGTTAGAAAAATAAATACTTACAAAACTACATTTAGGCTCTAAAGGTAAGCTCGGAATAAATGATAATTAGTGCATGGTATTAGTTAAAAGTCATACAAATTGTAGAAAGATGCACATGCTGTTAGCAAAACAGTAATAGCAAAGAAAAAAATGCTTGGTTTCTTACACAGCCAAGATCAGCTCCCAGCCACGTGCCCTTTGCGAGGCCATTCGACACGGGGTGTAGGCACAGGAATTGATGTGCCTACACCCCGTGTCGAACTTTCAGCTTGCATTCAACGACTGACTGCTTGCATCAGGTCATCAGCGCTATATTACATTTCCCCCCACCACATCCAAAGCACTCTTAAATAACTTAATACTAGGTCACGAGTGTACTCGATGCCTCTGAGTGCAGCTGTGAAGCCAGATGTGTCTTCAAAGCAAGTGTGCTCTAGTGGTGAGCCAGGTGGACAAAGGGCCCTCAAACCCAAGGTCAGACTGTTAATTTTAGGAATAACTCTGGTCATTTGCCTCATCTGTTCTCAGTTCTTCTATTCCTCAGTTCTTCATCGCTAAATGAAAATAAAAGTTCCAATGACAAAAGTTCGTCTTTGGTGAGAAACAGTACCTTGTAAGGTTATGTTATTGTTAAGATCTTTTCAATTTCCTTCTTGTTTTGTTATTAACTGATCCCACTCTGCCCTGCACTGAAGACCTAGTGTTGCTAAGTGGCATAAGCCAATGCAGCAAATGGAAATGAGATCTGCATGAGTCCCACACAAAAATAGGAACATCGCCACTAACAAAAACAATTTTTAAAAAGTCTACCACTCTCTGTCACTTTCATGGAGCTCCTGTAAATCAGTGACAGAGACCCTTCAAACCACTGTATCAGAACAGTCAGAGCTTGTAAGATGCCTGCGAAGTGATGCTCAGGATGGAAAGCTGAGATGGAACACAGAGTGACTCAGTCACTAAACACTGCCATAGAATCGAACATTCATTAGAAGGTGTAAAAGCATTTCAGCAATGTAAGTGAAGGCAGTGTACAATAAAGAGCAACTGTGTCATCTCAAATCATTTAGCACATTTATTTGCTTATGGAAGGAACACCTCTCTCTTTTCTCTCTCTCCTTCTCTCTCTTTTCTTCTGCAGCCCCCTCTTTCTCTCCTCCACTCATACATAAGTGGATCAACAAATTGATGATTCTCTCTCTCTTTTTCCTTCAAATCAATCAATAAAAATGTTTTAAAACAATAAAAATGTTTCTTACCACAAGAAGAAAATTTTGTAACTATACATAGTGACAGATGTTAACAAAACTTATTGTTATCAGCTTATTGTTATATATAGCAAACTTATATATATATATATTGCATCATTTTGCAGTGTATAAAATATTAAATTATTATATTGTACACCTAAAGTTAATATGATATTATATGCCAGTTACAGTTTTTAAAAGTAAAAAGAAAATCAATACCATGTAACTTGATTTAACCGATATATAAAAATACTACATTCAAAATTAGTGGAATACACATTGTTTTCCAAGTGCACAGGAAACATTGATGAAGATGGGTTATGTAACGGTTAATAAAATAAGTTTCAAACAATTTAGCAAAACTGAAACAATATAGAGCATATTCACTGTCCACAATAATTGAATAAGAAATCAGTAAGAAAATATATTTGGAATAGTACCAATGTGTGGACATTACACAACACACTTCTAAATAATCCATAGTGGAAGAAGCCACAAGAAAAAAAAGTTGTAAAATACTTCCCTTAAGTGAAGAGATGAGTAAGTAGTAATCAAATTAATAATCAAAAGAATTAAGAGATACTAGTTGCTAGCATATGAGGGGGTAGTTTCATATAAAAATATCAATTTGATGACTACAGAAATAAAATAACTTTGGTTCTTTTAAAGAAATTATTGGTTATATTACATTTTTAAAAATTAATGTTGAAGAAATTTGTCTATTTTATATCTCCACTTATAACATTTGTTTATAAAATAGTAAAAGTTATGAATAGCTTTAAATGCTGAGAAAAAAAAAAAACCAGAGAATATATATAATATCTCTATATATGATATATCTATATATCTCTCTATATGATATATCTATATATCTCTATAAAATATTATCTATATAATATAGATATATAAATACAAACAACAAAAAATATCTCTAAAAAAAGATATATCTAGAGATATAAAATCTCTAAACTTCTCTAATTCCTCTCTCTCTCTCTCTCTCTCTCTATATATATATATATATATATAAAATATTGTGATCACAGGAATTTTTAACTGGAAGAAATAATCCTGTAATTTGACAAATAGGACAACTAAAGCTCAGAACAATTTAGAAGATATGTCCAAGTTACAAACCTACAAACTAGTTAAAGCAAAACTAAAATGCAATGTAATTCTGTATAATATATAGTTAAGTGATCCATCTGAATTGAAAAAAAATGGGATGATCTATCTAATTTTACTTTCCATGCTAATATTGATTTAATAACATGAAATGGTTACCAAACATTTGCTGTGTTTTATAGGGACTTGTTCTTTAAGCCCTCTATTTACGTAATGTTTAAAATCTTCACCTCTTTCTAAAATTCCTTCAGTTTCTCCTGTTAAACTTTCTGTTCTTTCCTCTTAAATAATGTAAATGATATAGTCCTCATTTTAATCTTTACAGCAACCCTTGTTTTTCTATTTGCTATAAATTATAGATTGTTCTTAATTTTTAAATGGGAGACAACAATTAAACAATGTTTTGGAGTAGGCAGAGTATAAACATGATAGTTACATAATCTAATAATCTGCTTGTGATGCAACTTCAAGTTCCACTAACACACATTCCAGAATCAACCTTTACAGGTTGTTAGAAAGGGTTCTATCAAGGTTTACAATATAAGTGTCTTTTTAAATGGATATTTTTATGCTGATTTGACTGGGTTTGATAAGAGATTTTTAGTGTGATAAAGATCAAAGAAATAGGGTTAAACTTTACATGATAGTAATATTCCTCTATCCTTTCAAATCTAGAGAAAGATAGTATGGCTATTTTACTTTTACTTCCATTCTTTCTATTTTTCTTAATGAAAATTAAGATCCTATATATATGTATGTGCATGTGTGTGTACATATATCTGTCATGCACCTTTACTTGGTATCTTGTTTTCTAATCTATCTTTTGCTATATCTCTGGGGAGTGTGGCTAGAAGCAAAAATCAAAGTAAATATACTAAAAGGTGTTTCATAGGGGAATATAGATATTTAAGAATAAATTTAGTTGTAAATGTCCCCAGAGATAAATTTATTTTCAGTTAAAAGCATATTTACTTAGTGCAGGAGCATCCAGCCCACAGCCCGTGGACCCCACGTGGCCCAGGGTAGTTATGAACATGGCCCAACACAAAATTGTAAATTTACTTAAAACATCACTTTGTTTTATTACTAAATTATATACTAAGTTTTCTTTTTTAGATATGTATATTTCCTATATTAGCGATCAGACACTTGGGACCTGCTTGTCAATTTTAAAAGATTATCAAAAAGGCCACGCATAATTAGGGTTATTATGTGAGGATTTTTTTGTTTATCTGTGGTGGTGGATATCATGGAAATTATGAACAGACATTTTTTAACTCATAAGTTTTCATTAGTGTTTGTATAATTAATGTGTGGCCCAAGACAACTCTGCTTCCCCCGGTATGTCCCAGAGATGCTAAAGGTTGGACACCCCTGACTTAGTG